ACATATGGACTTGGTTGATATTTTGGTGTGTGTAAGAATGTGATTGTCTTGTATTATTGAGGTGCATTGTGATGATTGAAAAAACATTTATCTTTTGTGGTATATGTGACTCTTAAATTGCATTGTTTTTCTGAGTTTAGACTATTCTATTCTCTCTTTATGTGTGTGTGTGATCTCATTCTCTATAATAAGGGCTTTTGCTAGATTTACTAAACTATGAACTTAACAATGGGGTCTTTGCTAATTGCTCAGTTTGTGTTGAACAGTGGAAATATAGTCTTTTGATCTTGTTTTGCACATTTTTAGGGCCCTTCTATTCTTGGTTTAGATGATAATTCATAATTGTGTTTAGTGTTTGCCTTGTAGCCTTAACTTTGGTGCTTCCTCTATTTTACATCTGCTAGTTCTGATAAGTGATATATGTGATGTCTATAGATTTTAGACCCTTTTTCACTCGGTTCTTTTGCTCATACCCGACGATAAGTAACTTAGACTGGTTTTGGAACGCATGATGAGGCCTGGCCTAACAGTTAGGTGGATTGATCCGTGGTTTAATAAATATACTTATGCTTTGAAATGTTATACTTTCATTTAGAATGTGCTTCCTGAGATTTCAAATTATAGTATGCTTCCTGAGGTTTCAAATTGAATACCAATTGCATGATAATAGAAACAACCATACAAACATTATTGCTCATGTGTTGGTGAAATGTTTCTAAGTAGACAAAGCTGACCACACAAAAGTGAAGTATGTATAATGATATACAGGCCCTATATTCCTGATGCAAGCAATTGCTTTCCCATCTATTTCATTATCATTTATATTATTAAATTTAAATTTGATGTTTAAGTACTAATGTTCAGTTTCATCCTCTAACAGTTTTCTGTTTGGATATGTCAATTTTATATCAACATTAAAATGAAAAAATTATTTACTTATATTGGGGCAACTACCTAGTACCTATGATGAAATTTTCTATATTGATATAAAATAAAACTTAAATTTAACTATTAACATTGACTTAAAAATAATTAATGAGGCTATATTGTACATGTTAGAAATCCAATACAGAAATGTATGCCAAGCATCAAATAAAGGCTAATTGTTGGTCTACTAAAATTAATAATAAAAAAAAGCTATGCATATGCCTTTCATGCAAAACCCTTCATAAAAACATCCAAATACATTTCTCTAAAGAACAAAACCAACTTTCTAATCCACATAAAACCAAAAACCCATTTCTAACCCTTAGAAACACTCACAAATACCGAACAATCAAAACAAAACAAAATAAAAGAATTCATAAATACTGAACAATCACTAACATGACGCCAATTTTCGATCGTCTCACACAACATCGCATAACACGGAGCCCTTGATCCTCTCGACCGTGCACTTGATGAGGCTATTGACCTTGGCCACCGACCTAAATGACAACCTGTCGGTCGGGATCGAGTCGAACAATATCTGAAACGCGACAATCAGCAGTGACCCGTCCAACAGGAAATCCTGCCTGTCAGGCAGTATGGCAAAGCCCGAGGGGAGGAGGGCCACATAGTCTGGGTCACCGCCACCTAGGACGATGTTCATGGCGGTGATGTCGACAGGGGCGTATATGACTGTTCGCTATTTATTTTTGCTATCCGCAAGTGTACGGCGTAGCTATAGGTAGTGGAGAGCAAGGTCGTATTCCACAGAGATTGTAGTTAAATTAATTAAGTACTAAAATAA